AAAGAGAAAAAAAAAAAAAAGGAATAAAAATCTGCAAAAAAAAAAAAAAAAAAAAAAAAACCAACTCAAAATTTTCTAAATGTGGAAATTTCAGAAAACCAAAACTAAAAAAGTTTGAGTTTGCTAGAGGAAAAAAAAGTCAGAAATTTAGAGAGGTTAAAAATTTTCTAGAAAAAACATGGAAATTTCTGAGCTCCAAAAATCAAAAATTTGCAAGTAAAAAAAAAAAAATTATTTTGGTCTCAGAAATGCTTTGGAAAAAAAAAAATATAGAAAGTCTGAAGTTTTCAGCTTCTCAAACTCAGAAATTTCCAAAAGTCAAAAAGTTTCAAGAAAAAAGTTTTTATTTTAATCTCAGAAGAAACGAAGACATTTCTGAGTTTGAAAAGTCGAGAATTTTCAATTTTCAAAGTTTTTTTTCTATAAAATTTCTAAGATTACACTCAAATTTTCTGAGTTTTTTGGCAGAAATTTACTGTTTTTTTATCATCACTCTATACACAATGGTCCTATAATTCAGTTGTACTATTGGAGCGTTCCGGGTCTCATGGGGCAAAAGAACCGGTTCTGGGCCCCATTTCCCTGCTGTGTGAATGTAACCTTTGTGTTGGTTGATGGAAAACAAAAAGTTTTGGTAGACAAACAAAAAAACTCTTCAAAGTGCATCAATGCATGTGGGCGTTTCCCGTCCTACCTGCTGGTCAGGACGCTCTCCCAGGGGTGCTGGACGGCCTGGCCGTGCTGGGCTCGGCCTGAGGAGCGGTGCAGTGGCAGGGCCGCTCCAACATGGCCGCTCCGGGGCCAGAATAAAGAGGCGCTCAGTGACTGATGGACAGACGGACACTCTGAAATGCTCTGACTAGCGTAGCTGAAAATTGTTGGACTGTAGAACGGGATGGAGGTGAAGTCGTGGCCCAGGTCGGTGTACGGCGCTGGGATGCAGATGGGCTGGCAGGCTTCGTGGGTCAGACCAGGAGACAAAATGCGACCGCCGACTCGGCTGGAGTCCACCTCCTGCAGCTGCAGCAGCGGCTGATGCTTCTCTGGAGAGGTGGCAGCGGCCATCGCAACAACAGGAGCTCTCAGGAAACGACAGCTACTCCATCATCTGCAAGAATTTAATTATCCTGGCCGAGTCAGAGGGTGAAGCCTCGCTCAGATCAGCATGTCGTCGTCGGGAAATATCATCCAAGCTGACTCCAGTTTAAATCAGAGGAGAGGTGGAGTTAAATCCCAGGGAGCCGGAGGGCCTGCCTTGTGGAGCGCCGCCACATGATGCTGAATGAGCAGAGAAAAAATACCACAAACTGATGTAAGAATAGGAACAGGGAATAAACAGCTTGGTTGAGTTTAATGTAGAGAACATCAGTTTTTGTAAAACTTTTATACGTCGACTGCAGGATGAAAACATATGAAGAAAAATAATATTTGTTGTTTCAATCTTTCCATTAAACACTGCAAAAACATAAAATGGTACCAAATATTTTGTTCCAATTATAATCTGCCAGTGGAACTAAAACTGGGTTGCTAGGTGACGGGCTGGGCTTGGCTGCCGTTGCTAGGTGACGCCGCCAGTGGAACTAAAACTGGGTTGCTAGGTGACGGGCTGGGCTTGGCTGCCGTTGCTAGGTGACGGGCTGGGCTTGGCTGCCGTTGCTAGGTGACGGGACCAGTGGAACTAGAACGCTTGTTTTACCGACTTAAAACAAGCTGAAAAGTTACTTGTTTTGTTCTAAGATATTTGCTCTAGAAACTAAACCAAAAACACTTGGTAAGATTCGGCATCTGCTTTGTTCTTTTTTATTTTTACAGGTTTAAACTGCATGGATTACAGATAAATGTCTTCAGTAATGCGAGTCACACGTACTGTTGCCCTTTAACACCAATATTAACAGAAGAAAGTGAAAGCTTGTGCAATGTGTCCTGGTTTACAGTAAAGTATTTGTATAAAACATCCAAGTCCAGTCCAAAGGAGCCGTTACCACCAAATGCAGCAAAGTGAATCATTCCTACAAGGCAGGAGTTTGTCTTCAGTCAGGCTTGGTACACTGTGTCTCTACTTCCTGGCTCTGCGCCCTCCACTGCAAGTCATTTCATTTCTTATCTAGAAAAAAATAATTAATCAAATTCCAGAGAATCCTTCTTCCTTTTCAGCTAACAAAGCTTCACAGGATTAGTTTGGGAACAATGTGGGAACATTGGAGATAATCTTGGATCTGAAGTCAAAACGTTTGTATTTCCCTTCTCCTCTAAATGTTTTACGCCGCGAATTAAACCGAACTTAAAAACATTCTCCTTCCAGCTGTGAAGAAACTCACTGAAAATTGGCTCCATGTGAGAAACAAATATTATTGCAGCTCATTCCCCGTCCAAGACGTTTAATATTGATATCATCCGAAGGAAGCTGTGTGAAACAGAAACAGTAGAAATGCCACACTTCGTTACCATTTCCTCAGGGAGTTTGTTTTTTGTCAACTCATAAGTGCTGCTGATTTATTTTATTTCATATAAAAACATTTGTGACCCAGTCAGGAAGAACTGTGAACATATTTTAAAACGGGACGCTCTGACATGAAGGTAGGCAGATTTATGTGGACGCTTGCAAACGTAGCAGGAATCAGGTTTCACTTTTAATTTACTTCCTTTGTGTAAAATATTTTTATACTCACTTTGAATAGAATCAAACTGAAATTACTCATTTTTAAATTGGTTAATCAACCAGTTTTTTTATTAATTTAATAATTCTCACATAAATATATAATGTTTACTAAAAAAAAATACTCAAAATTGAGATTTTAAGAAAAAAATTATTCAAAAATTCTTATATTCCTTAAGTTACAATGTTAAAAACAAAGAGACAAAAGTTGCAACCAACTTTCTGAGGATCTTTGTCTAATGTATTAATGTTTTTATTTTATTTTATTTTCAGAACAAATTGCAGCCAGAGTGAGCTTTAGGGTATTTTCACACCTGATTGTCCGATTTGGGAACAAAATTGTTAAATTTTTTAGATTTTCAGCTTTTTCACTGCACTGTCAAACTATCTGAACTAATTAATGAACATGTTCCCCTCCTCGCCTGTGGGGGTGCTGCACTAAGAACTACTGGAGGAAATGACACAAAAACCTCAGAAGACGACACCTAGAAGACGCCTTTTTCATAAAGTGGAAACAAAAATGGAGTAGCGTCAGATTTTAGTGGTTGTGGGATTTTTCTTTAAATCTTCAGTAAAAAAAAAAAAAAAAAAACACAAGTCATTTCTCTTGCCATCGCTAGATTAGCACTTTTGTATTGGCTGTATTTACCCAGAATGCCCTGCACTGTGGTTCACTTCCTGGTTTTGGAGCGCTAGTCCGCTTTGCGTTCACATATGCAATCAAACCGCACCAGAGTTCACTTCAATCGAACCAAGACTGAGACTTTTAGCCAGACCAAAGCTGCTTCTTTGGTCCGATTTAAATTTAGAGGGATTATGATTATCTGATTAATCTCCTTAATAACAGATTAAATATGGCTCTGTAAATAAAGACAGTTTAACTGAAGGATACTCTCTTCTACGTTGGCGCTGAAACAAATGGTGGATCAGTAAATCTACAGAAATTCTGGACAAGTTAAAAGCAAAACCTTCTAAATGTCTGTAAAACCAAAACAGTTTAGCGACAACAGCAACCAGTGAAAAGCTAAAATCTGCAACTGGTTGAAACAATCAAACACCCAATACACACATTAATACGCAAAGTAGAAACAATACAGCAGAAGCCAACAGTCTTACTCATCTGATGGAACCAATCAATCGCACTGAGCCACAAATTGGAAGTCTACTAGTTTCTGATAGGACGGCCATAATGGAGCAGGAAATAAGTAGCATGAGGAAACATTAAAATTACTTTCATTCAGACCGACCTCGGATCAGAACCGCTCTGGTTTGAAGGGAGTCTTGCTGCCGTTTCTGCAAACCGACGCCTGAACCTTAACAAGTCCTCCATTAAAAATTAACAAAGGAAGCAAATCAAAACCAAACCAAACAGAAAAAAGTGGGTTAAGAGCAAAATAATGAAAAAATAATAAAAAACGCTGTCAGGAGATTCAGAGTTATCCAAATTATTCGATTATTAAAATAATCGTCAACTAATTTAGTAACCGATTAATCGTTAACTGAACCAAACAGACTCAAAATGAGGCCATTTGGTGAAATAAATAACAATCAGAGCAGCAATCAAGCCAAATCTTTACAGAAAATGGATACATTTTGTATTTGAGGTAGAAACATCTTTTACAGAAAACTCCAACTGTTCGAATGTACCAAAGGAATGCTGTTATTGCAATGTTTATTGTCTTACTTAAAAATGAATTTGATCATTTGCTTATTTCTAATATTGTATAAAAAAGGCATGTGGTTAAATGAGAATGTGCCATTTTTAAAACTGATTAATCATCAGAATAATCGATTAATCGATTGCTAATTTAATCGCTGCAGCTCTAAAGTTGTTCATATTGGGACAAGTTGTCATACAGGCAACACAAGGAAACAAGATTTGTGAGAAATGACTAACTTCTTTACAGTTTGTTCATAAAGGAAACACCCTAAAGCTTTGAGCCAAAACAGCTTCATCCTCTACATGAATAAACCCACAACTAGAAAGCCAAAAATATAGGTACAAAGAAAAAAGGAATACATTTCTGCAAGCAAAACTCCAATTTTCTCAAGAAAAAAAAACTCTGAGATCCAAAAGTGGAAAATTTCTGAGATTAATCTCCAGCAGTCAAATGAGTTTCAGCAACACGGTAGATCAAAGTGCTTCACATCGTAAAAATCCAAAAATAAAGTTATATTAAGAAATTTTCTAAGAAAAAATAATGAACATTCTAAGTAAGAAAAAAGTTTGAGATCAGAAATAAAAAAAAAACCAATTGGGCATTCTGAGTTTCAAAAGTCAAAAATTTGCACAAAAAAAAATTTAGATTTTAAATCTAATAAAGTTTCTAGAAAAAAAAACTTTATTTCTGAGTTTCAAGTCATATTTTCTAATGAAACTAAGAACATTTCCAAAGATTGAAAATTTTCAACATGTCACTCAAATTTCAGTGTTTTTGTAGAAAATTTTCTGAAATTAATCTCAAAATTTTTGATTTTTTGAGTAAAGTTTTGATTTTTCAAGCTTAGAAATTAAAAGAAAAATGTAACAAAATTTCTGATAATCTAAAATTTTGAGTTTTTCCAGCAAATGTTTTACTTTTCAAATTCAGAAATCTCCCAAATGTATTTTAGCACATTTGAGATTAATTTCTTTCTGAATTTTTAAAGAAAAACTTTTTTAAACGTTTTTTTAATCTGCAATGCCCCTAAACCTGCCTTTTACCATTGCCGTGCATTTCGTACTCGGCTGAATGTCTGTTATATCAAAAATAATTACACTTTATCAAAAACTGCAGCTTCAGATTTGCTTGAATCATAAATCCTCACAGAAAAAAGTTTAAACAATCGCGCAGCTTTTTGCCTGCGTCAGACGTACCGATCATTCTTCCCGACGTTTGCAACAGATTTTAATAATCCGTTTCTTCAAGCACGCGATGATTTAAAGCCGTGAAATCAAAGCGTTCGCGACGTTCAGCTTCCAGTTTAATTACACGGTTTGTTGGCTTATCTCTTTCCACTGAATAATGTGGAATGACGAAACGCAGCCTGGACCATGAAACGTAAAAATGGACGAGTTCATAAAAATTTACTGGTGATGTTCTCAAGAGTCCATTTTAGGAGCTCAGCAGTGACCTCGCGCCTGCAGCCCATCGTCTTCCTCCTAAAGCTGACGAGTCACTTAAGAGTCGAAAAGATCCTCGGCCAGTTTTTTGTTTTTTCTGCTCCTCTGACAACGGTTCCAGGCTCAAAGCAGATGTGGATGGGTTTTTTGTTTCTTTTGAAGCTCTGACCTTGCCTCCGAACTTCCTCGCTGTCACAGTGAGCTGGCAGCTCACTGTGGGAGAAAAACTCCCTCGCCGCGGCTCATCCTGCCGCCACTAATGGCTCGCATGGAGCCGTCTCAAACTAGAAAACCTGGTAAATGTTACTCGGGAGAATTGAGTTTTTTTATCCTCAGCTAACCTTTTACAGGAGAAGAGACATTAAGTGGGAGGAAAGAAGGGATCAAATGTGCTTTAAAAGTCAATCGTAACGACTTTTGGGTCTGTCAGGCTGAATCGCTTTGAAAAGTGACAGGAAACATTTCGATATTACACTTTGCTGAAGGTCAGAGAGGAATACACTTGTTCAAATCCACTTCTTCTTCTTCTTCTTTCCACTTCATTAAATGTGGTGCAATCAAAGCTCTGGCTCCAAATGTTTTGGCTAGCACCAACTCCAAACTAAAGCCAACATCCAAGTCATAAAAAGCTAAATCTGAAGTCCTCCCGGCCATTAGCCAGATTCCACAAAAGCTCAAGGTCGTGTCGTTTTCCCATCCTAAAAGTTTCCCTGCCTCCTTTCGGTCCAGGCGGATGAGGATGTGGACGGCTCCGAACATTTCTATATACAGTAATGATCCGATATGGAGCTGTGAGGCTTAAAAAAGTAAAACCAAGGCACATTTAATGAGCCAAAAGGGGAAAAAACACATCGTTTATGGATTTCCAGCATCTAGATCTCAACGAATCCTTCAGGATTTATTCATTTCTCTCATTTTTAGGACAATATAACAAAATTAAATGAAGCTTCAGGATTTGTTTTTTAGATTCGTGAAAGATGCTCCAATTTAAGCCTTTATCTATCTAACCTTCTGCAGTTCAGAGATCCTGAGAAGAGTTACAACTTTAAATAAAAAACACGCTAAACCTCTTAACGAAATCTAAAACTTGACTGGGTCGTAAGTTAAACATTTAGCAAAAAAGAAAAGTCCAAAGTTCCAAGTTAAATCTGAATAAAAGTTGCACTAGTTCACAAACCAAAAACAAAACTGTGCAACACAATGTTTTAGATAAAAGTCAGACTTAATTTTAATTAAATGGATTTAAAGGTGATTACATCTCACCTTACTGTGTCTTATCTGTGTATTTCACCAAAATATAAGCAAAAGTTTTAAATTAACCAGAATTAAATTATTAAAATCCTCATTATAATCACTAGGAATCAAACCATCAGCAGTTATTATCTTACACATAGGAAATTGACAAATATCCTTAAATAGCCTAAAATTAGTCTATAATTTAAATATTTTTTAAAATTAAATAAATTAACTTTAAAAATATATTTTTTAAATGATCTAATCATAATCATAATTTTATTCTCTTTAAAACTTTATTTTTAAAGGTGAAATTGTAGAATATTTAAACTTGAGGCTTTTATTGTGAAGGCCTGAAGTTGGAGCCATTACTGTATTTTTCAGTTTTAACTGTAATTTTCTTTTTAAATACAAACAGCAGAAATGCCCAACAAAAGGAGAAGTTTTCTTTACCAACATCCATCAGCAATAATGACTGGATTTAAACTTTAAAAGTTATATTTGTATCCAAAATGTTAAGTTTGCTTTTCATTGAGATGATGGGATTCATTTTAAAACTCCGAGCACTTTATAAAGGTTAGTCACATGCAAGTTGAGCTCAGAGAGTTTCCTATTGCTTGTTTGCATCTTAAGTGGACTGGAAGAGGAATGTGGGAAGTTGGAAGAGGGGAAAACCTCCCTGGAGCAAAAGCATGACTTCAATTGGCCGAGTTTCCTCAGACAGAGAATATTTCATCAGATGGAAAGACAACAAATCAAACTGGATTAACAAAAGAACGAATACAGAGGACAAAAAGTGATTGTTCTCACTCAAATCCTGAATTACACCCATGAAAAACAATAGCTTGCTACTCTGCAGGAAAAAAGAAAAGAAAAGTAAGAGGGTAAATCAGGTGAGACGAGTATTCATGTTCTAACTTTTAAAATTTATCACCTTTCCCGATATTCTTCTTTATCAAATATTTATCTAAACCCAGACAGAGATCTCGAAGGCTACATTTGGCCAGGTGTTTTAGTGTCGGAGCAGATGTCTGGCAGCCCACGCGCCGAAAACACTAAACCACGCACATTTAAGTAACATATTGCAGGATTTTATCCTCTGTGATGTTTTAGATGAGATCAGGGCCGAGTTCCCACAGACGCTGCACAGTCTGAAGGATAGTTTTGGTCTCCAGAGTCAGAAAAAAGTTAGGAAATACTCCAACTTCTGACACCAGAGTTCAGGATAGCTGCCGATATTATGAAACAACAGAAAAACATGCATGAAAAAAAGAGAAAAATTAACCAGAAAAAAAGCAAAGAAAATACCTGGAGCTAGATCAAAAAAATGCATAAAAATATTTTAATAGACTTTTATCAAAATTAATGCAGCAGTAAAGAAATCCCAAGAGTATAAACAGGTAACGGCTACTAAAAATAAATTATAATTACATCTAAAACTCATATTAGCTTTCCTTCTTGCTCGTTAGTTATACTTTGTTTCTGACAGATAAGACAAAGTGGTAAAATAAACTCGTAAAACCTACGTGCTGTAGTTTATCGTGTCGTTACCAGTCTTATCTTTACGGGTTTTAATAAGGCAGGTCAGGTCAAGACCAATAATGTCTTACACTACAAAATGTTAGAAGATTCACGCTTTAATTTGCTGGTTATCAATTAAAACTGCCGGAAAACCCACTTAAAGGAGGAAAAATAACGGCTCGGTGCCGATGTTATGAGGCAGCCTGCAGGTATTGGGAAACGGGAAAGTGATCCCGTGAGATTTTCCATGTCACAACAGCTGAGCGACAGCAGCTCGTTTCTGCGTAAAAAGCGTTTCTGAAATGTTCGTTAAAAGTCAAAACACAGCAGAGGCAGATCGCAGCTTTGCAGACACACCAGCTGATGTGTTTTAATGCTGAAGGATTTATTTCTGGTTGGTTTTGAATATTAAGGAATAAGGATACTTGGATCTCGTTACCAGCTGAGATCTGGGAATGATTACTGGATCCAGCAGCCGGACTTGTTGCGTGACTTCACCCCGCCACCTGTTAACCAGGCTGATCAGATAAGTCCCGGTTTTAGGCCTCCGGTTTGACGCCCGATCAATTCTCCAGCTCCCCGCCGCTCCGCCGAAAGCTGTTTAATTACTTTAGCCACCGGGAAAATACAATTACCTGCTTTCTCAGAAGCTCCTGTTGTTGACAAACTTGTCAGCCCGGGCGCCTGAAGTCCCGCTGCGGGGTCAACAAAGTGTGAAGTACCGCGGGAGTTCCGCTCCGTTTGGTTCCGATCCGAACCGCACAAAGTCCAAGCGCGGAGTCGTCCAAGCTGCCAGACTGGTCTGATTTAAGCCCGCAAGTTCCAGCTCACAAGCTAACCAGCAGCTGCCTTCAGGGAAATAAATAACCAGAAGCTGTATGACGCGCCGCTTCCGGTTGGGTTCTTCAAAATAAAACATAGCAAATCACATACGCACTATTTGTAAAATCTAAATATTTAAAATGAATTGACAAAGTGACGGCTGGCTACGTGTTAGGGATATTGTAGATAGGAGAAAAGGAAAATACATTTCTGTCAAATTTTGAGATTAATCTCATAAATTTGCTAGAAGAAAAACAAGAAAGTTTGAAAATTTTAACATTTGCAAGAAAAAACTCAGAAATATTGGGATTAATCTAAAAAAAATTTCTACGAAAGAACAAGGAAATTTCCAAATTTCAAAAGTTTAAAATTTGCTTAAAAACAAAATCTGAAATTTTGATATTAATGTCAGAAGGTTTTTTTTTTTTTTTTTTTTTTTAAAGGAAAGATATTTCTGTGTTTGAAAAGTTGAAAAATTGCTAAAAAAAAAAAAAAAATCAAACTTTTCGAAGTTTGAAAAGTGGAGCATTTTCTAGAAACCCCCCCAGAAATTTGTATGTTAATTTCTAGAAAAGACAAGGGAATTTCCGAGTCTAAACAGTTAGTAATTTGCTAAAAGAAAATCTGAAATATTTATATTAATCTCAGAATTTTTTTAGAAAACGTACAAAGAAATGTTCAGAGTTTGAAATGTTCAAGATGTGCTAGAAAAATTTCAAATTTTGAGATTAATCTCCAAATTTGTCTAGGAAAATAAAGAAAATTTCTGATTTTCAAAAATTTAAAATTTTCAACTTGTGGAATTTTTTTGATTTTAAAGAGTTGAAAACTTTTTACTTTTGAAACTCAGGAAATTCCATGTTTTTTCTAGAACATTTCTGAGATTAATCTCAGTTTTTCCTAGAAAATGTTCAACTTTTCAAACTCAGAAATTCACTTTTCTTTCTTTTTTTTTTTTTTTTTTAGAAAACTTCTGGGTTTTTTGGTAGAAATTTACCTCTCCTTTTATTTCTATCTACAATGACGTTGTTGTAGACAACTCTAATACTTTCCAAAGACAAAAATAAATAATTACCGGAAAACATTCAAAAAAAATTGCTGAAAACTAAGGAGCAAACTGAATAATTTATGCAGGAAATCACAAATTTTACATAGAACTCTTTTTACCTTTATGATGTTGACTGAAATCATGGACAATTCAGATTTTTCTTTTAGATGATGAGGAATTTCACATTTCAGCTTCACAATGATTTGAAGATTGCCTCCAAATCGTCATGAGAAGGAAATAACTTTTGTCACAAACTGAATCTGACAGAAATGTCAGATTCAGTTTGGAAAAGCGGCGCAAATCACCAAGTCAAGATGCAGAACGCTGACAGATTCCTCCCATTAAAGACTGAACACTGAAACTGAAAAGTGGTTTAAAAAGTTTTAGTTTAAGGCCGTACACTCTTGAGTGCCTGTGTTATTGTCCCATTTCTATTTTTATTTTATCTGTTTCAGCTGAATTTCACAGCAGAGGTGGATTAAAAACTTTTTACATGAAGAGATGGTGGGAGGAAAAGGAGTGAACAGAGATAGAAAAATATCCACAAAAAGACGTAAAAGCTTTTTATAGTATCACTTCTTCTAACAAAAACCAATAAAATCCTTTGTCTTATCTGCTGTAACAAATAAAAAATGCCAAATCTCTTTAATCTAATGGAAAATACTCTCTCTCCCTTTTCAGCAAAACATCAGAGCTTCATTTTAAATGATTTTGCTCGTATATTTTGCATTTGAAGGACTTCAGGCATCAGGACTGCATATAAGATTTTATTAAATTTATCTTGTTTTGTGATGTTTTTCTCTTTTTTGGTGGTTCTAATCTTCTTCTGTATACATATTAGACGTTTCTTTTCACAGCTGACTTTCACGTTGAGGCTGGGAAAATTTCCTTAACATAAAATTAAGGGGCTTCCACATGAACCAGTGAGAACTTTGTTCTGCTCTGTTTGGTTCTGTTGGGGTTTAAAATTTGCAGCTTTTATTATGAAGGAAAGTTCAGAACTTCTTGTGAACTTGACACTGCAGAGAGAAAGTCCCAAAAATCATAGGAGTAAACCACAACTCATCACCGCCCTGCACAACTTGTCCTCAGATTTCATCAGGTGACCTTTATCACACGTGTCAAACCCGAGGCCCGTGGGCCAAATCCGGCCCGCCATAGCTTTTTATGGACACAGATTCTGGACACTGGAATTCTGGATATTTAATTGTCATTAAATATCATGTTATCAATCAAATCAGTGCAGTTTTTATCTGTTTACTGCCAAATTATATCAATTAGTCCCTCCAGTTTCTTGAGAATTATTATGGAAATTCACGCAAAATCAACAATTTTTTCTCAAAAATTGTCAAAAACTGTCTTACTTGTACTAAACAGCTGCAACAGCTTTAGTTGATGTCAGGTTATGAACTATACAGCGAGTAATAAAAAGTTGCGTTTACCATCATAAATAAGCGCAAATATGGCAAATATTTCCAAATTAGTACCAAAAACACTTTGATTTTTATTGGAAAAATGACAAAGAGAATCAAGAAATCTTGGAGGGACTGAAAAGATGTTCAATAATATTATTTAATTTTCAGGATTCATTGATATTTTAACAGTTTGTGATCAGGTTTTATCAATACATAATGACACAACTGGCCCTTTAAGAGCGTTCATGGTCTGGATTTGACCCAGAACCAAAATGAGTTTGACACCGCTGCTTTATCACATTCACTGCAGACAGGAAAACCTTCACTGCAAAGTTAATACCACACGAATCGACATAGACCCCTCCCAGCTTCAAGTATAAACCAAAAAGCAATAAGACGAAATCCAGTTTATATGCTGTTTCCTGAAGTGGTTGCAGCTGAAAACAAGAAGGTTTGTCCCTTCCTCACCTCAGCTGAGGACGGGCAGATAAAACAGGACGTGTTTTAATCAAACTCAGCCTGCAGAGCAGCTGCAACTCTGCAGTTTAACTGCATACAGATAAAACCACCCTGTTAACGAAGAGAAGGAATTTTTACATTTGGCAAAAATTCAGAAAAACATTTGGCTAATGAAGGTATGCTTCAGTTTAGCGCTAAATGCCTGCACTCACGATGACGGAAACCTGAGCGCAACGTTTAGAGAGGAAACTGCTTGTTAACCTGCAGCCAAGTTTGAAAAAAGGAAAACAAACAATGACCCTCCTGCATTGTCTCATTATCAGACGAGCAATGATGCACAGATGTTGTTTGGCTGATGTTGACGCAGAGTGAAGAGCTAACGGAGGCCAACTGTAAACCATGTTGTTACTGTTACAAGAGCAGCAAAAACGAGGGAAAATATGAGAAAATGGAGTGAGATCATCAAACTGGAGCTGATGGAGCTTTTATTGGGAAAGGTTGTTTATTAATACTGTATATTTTTAATGAAATTCAGAGCATTTTTTTATCCAAGCTATCAACAACAATCTTACATTTGTATGCCATTTATTTTACTCAAACATGCTCTCAAAACAATAATGTTATCGTTTATCGCAATAAGTTCTGGGTTAGTTTATCGTCCAGCAAAATGTGTTATCGTGACAGGCCTACTAATCAGTTTACGAATGAAAAACTTCATTGAACCCAAGTATATGAAACAACTCTGAGTGGCTAAGAGCAGAACATGTTAAATACATTTGTCTGGTAAAATTGTAAAAACAAGTCTCTCAGTGGAGTTAACAACTTATCTTCACCAAAGGTTCTGCAAAAAAACAAACGTAATATTTGGTAAAACTAGCAACATAGAAAGTGTAACGTTAATTTTTTATTTATTTATTTATTTTTACAAAAATGTCTGAAGATATGTTCTCACTTTGTCATTAGCTGCGTTTCCATTACAAATCTTCCTCTATATTCTGCTACAGAGATGCGGAAAAAAAAACAACACAATTTTGCATCTCCGGTGTTTCCATTAAGTAAGAAATGAAACTTAAATCCCATCTGTTCGAAAAATTATTAAGAGTAAAAAAAGTATTTGGTAAAAAGTCAAGTGAGTAACTGATCAAATGATCATTTAATATTTAAAAATTACATCATCAGACGGACCAAAGTATAAAGTTCAGGGGAAGTTTTGGTATTTTAAGGACCAAAATTATAATAATTGATATAAGTAACAAAAAATAACATCAGGCAAAAGACATTTTTTAAAATCTGTTTCTTTAAAAAAAAAAACAACAAAAAAACATATGAAACTTTG